AAAATTTGGAAAAAAAATCTATAATTGGAAACTTCTGATTCCAAGCATTTAGGATAAGGGATACTCAACCTATATACAAACTCTAATAAGAGTTAACGTTTGTGGTGATTTTCATTCATGCATTCTTGTGATCATGTTAGTTATGGTTCTTGGGCATTTCCAGATCCCCTTAGTTTTCTTTGAAAAGCAGCAACTAGGGCTGTTATCAGTGCTATGAGAGAGGACATATACCCGACAAAGCTTAGGAGGGAGAAATTCCATCAGTGTATACACAGCCCCAGCATAGTGCTTATTGTTTCACATATTTTGAACGAGTAAATGAATTTTCCATCATTCCTTTTTTTTTAATCACAACAGTACACTGGGCTGATAGCCTCAGTCAAAAGACTAAGGTTAATAGAATGCTCTTTTGATTCCGTTTTCTAGATTTTGCCTAATAAAGGTAAATAAAGGTCTGGGGCCATGACCTTACAAGCATCAGTCATATTTTTTTCCCTCTTGATTTGTTAATTGGCATGAGAGTTCATCTACCCCTTGTTTTTCTATAGAGACAGAAAAATGAGATCAGGATTCTGAGAGCAAGAAAAAAAAAGCAGTGAATAGCTGCTATTAAATAGGCTCACATGCAAAGGCTAGAGTTCTTTAGCAATGTAGTGAATTTCAAAGCATAATTCCCAGCCTATTAAGGTCTAAACGTTTAAATTCACCGAGATGATACAGGAAAGAAACAGAATTGTCACAGTTAATCTATGAACATACATTTCATGCATGGCATGGCTATACTTTTCAACCTACCATTTGATATATGTGGTTTTACCTATACTATATAAATAACTTGTTAATTTACACCCCTCTTTTAAAAGTACATTCTGGTTGAGCTCTGGAGTAGTTTGTTTTACAAGGCTGGAAACTATATGCTTGGAAAGCTGCTTACTCCAGAGGTTACTGTACACAGGTCAGGATACCATGCAAGAAATACAAAGAATAAAACAACTATGCTGCCTTATTTGGGAAATGAACAAATAAACTCTGGCTTATTAATCCATGTGAAATATTAAATAGCAGTTAAAATAGGTGCAGGAGATCTATATAAACCATTGTGGTTAAAACTCAGAAACAATGTTCAGTGAAAAGTATCAAGTTTCAAATATAGTTAATAGAACATTAAAAATAAAACAATAGTAAAAATGAATGAGAATGATGCACATGAGTTTCAAGATTGTGATTCTCTCAGGGGAAGAAGGGTGGGGAGGGGAGAGAGAAAAAGAGACAAAGGTAAGATTTTATCTACATCTATACTTAGCCTAGTACTTTAAACATAAAAACTTGAAGCAAATATGGCAAATATTAGCATCTATTAAATCTAAGTGGTGAGACATGGTTGTCTGATATATTATTTTCTATATTTTTGTATGTTTGAAATAGTTTATATTTTTTTTAATGGGCTCCTAATTTCACAATTCTAGAATGGCAAAAAAAAGAAAATCTATTATTAACTTGGCCTCCTCTGTTTGACAGCCTGGAATTACATAATTATTAAAACTTTTAAGATAACTTGGAAAATATTTTATTTCTTAGTGATTTATAATGGTATAAAGACCATTCTAGAAAGGCCATTTAAAGACAAGAAAGTAGTACTTATAGTAAATTGAATTTCTCAGATAGAGCTGTGCTTAACCAAAGTTGCAAGATATAAGATAAGTAAGAACATTTGAAGCATTCTGTCACAAGGATGAGTTGTTTTTGAAAGTGTCTGTTCTGTACTAAAAATTTAAAAAAGATTTGTTTCTTAAAAAGAGTTTTAAGTTCACAGCAAAATTGAGAAAGTGCAGAGATTTCCCATATACTCCCTGCCCCCATGCATGCCCCCATTGTCAATATCCCCCACCAGAATGGTACATGTTACAACTGACGAACTTATACTGACATGTCATTATCACCCAAAGTCCACAGTTTACATAAGGATTCACTCTTGGTGTTACACATTCTATGGGTCTGAGCACATGTATAATGACACGTATCATCTATCAGTATGATATCATAGAGTATTTTCACTGCCCTGAAAATTCTCTGTGCTCTGCCCATTCATCCCTACTCCTCCCCCTTACCCCCACCCAGTAATCTGGTAACAGTTGATCTTTATCTTTTCCAACATGTCATATTTTTACCTTTTCTGGAACGTCATATCATTAGAATCATACAGTATTCCAGAATGTTAAATCATTAGAATCATACAGTAGCGTAGCCTTTTCAGATTGGCTTCTTTCACTTAGCAATATGCATTTCGGTTTCCTTCATCTCTCTTCATGGTTTGACAGCTTTTTTTCAGGGCCAAATAAATGTCCCTACTTTTTTCACAGGGATAGCAGTTTGCCAGCTACTTAAACATTTACTTTTCTAAAAGGCAGAAGCATGTTAACATTTCACATACAGATTTTCTCATACTTTTTAATTCATTCCTCTTGACCAAGGTTTCCTAGAGAAAGTGTGTGTTGGGGAAGTGATAGCCCATATATTTAAATGTCTTGGAACCATTAAAAATAAATATTTCAAGGTGATTTTTATGTTGCCTATATACAGGATAGAGTTTTGTAAACTGTGGTACTATTTTTTTGGAGTTTCACTCTGTCCTCAAGGCTGTAGTGCGGTAGCACACTTACGGCCATCCCAGTGGTGACCTTGTGGGCTCCGGTGATCTTTCTACCTCAGCTTCCAAGTAGCTGGAACTACAGGTATGCGCTACCACGCCTGGCTAATTTTTGATTTTTGTTGCAGAGACGAGGTCTCGCCAAGTTGCCCAGGCTGGTCTCGAACTCGCAGGTTCAGGCAATCCACTCACCTCGGCCTCCCAAAGTGCTGGGATTACAGGCTGTGCCTGGTTATACTATTTTTTAAATTTAATGTTAGGCATATGGATTTTACAATGATCTTCAGATTTTAAAATTACGCTTTAACTCTCAATATGCCAGAAAAAATAGTCATTGGCATTTAATGAATATTTTAAAAATACATTTTAAGTCATTTTATAAACAATTCACAGAGTATAAAGGGATAGTTTTAAAAAGCAGCTTTATTAGAAATTTTAGTAAGAACTTATAGTAAGCACAAGTTTTATTTGTTTTCTTGGATTTGAAGATATATAGATACTTGAAATGGGCAACAAAGAGGATAAGAGCTGAAGAAAAATCCTGAAGGAACTGTCATTAGGGAGTGGTGGTTAAGGGCTCAAATGTACCCCCCCAGAGATTCCTGGCATCACATTTCAGTCAAAGATGCACTCAAGAAAGACAATGACTGAAAGCCCACTAAAGCTCTGGGGTAGTTATCACCAGAAGAACCTTAGTTTTGAACAAGTACCTATAGCAACTCATATCAACATGGTGTTGAGCCCTGACCTCTTCTGCAGGCTTCAGATTCAAGTAGAAAAGGATGCTGCCACCAGATAATAATTCCTTAAGTGGAAAGGACTCCTTTCTCATGTTCCTCAAAGAGCAGGCCTGAAGGACAATGGGAAAAGGAAATCCTTCTAATGGGCAGGACTGCCAGACATAACTTAGGAACTTATTCCATTACCAAAGAAGGCAGGAAACAGACTCATGGCATTTATTGGTCTGAAGTGACCAGTAGATGATCCTGTTTTCTAGGTTTCTTCCACACCGCCAAGTCAACCTCCTTTTTTAACTGATGATTTTTACTGTCATTTTCCCTACTGAATTGCTGATGTGCTGATAGTAAAACGTGTCACTAAGTCTGGAGGATGTCATTCTGGCAGAATGGTGAACACATGGACCAGAGGAGCACAAGGAACAGGCATCTGTAGTTGTACCTATAATGCTGGATCAAGTTAGGCAAGAATATCTTGAAGGATAAATTTGCTCTGCAAATGAAATATAGTGGCGAGACACTAGTGGAATCGACATAGTCCATAATTTCTTGAAAATGATCCAAAGCCCCCACTTTTTACCAGGTGACTACAATTTCAAGGCTGCCACAAATGGCTGAACAAGGTTATGTAAACACTGCATATTCCTATGAAGAAGTCCTGCTACATCACGCTGCAGGCCATAGCTGATTGAGGTGCCTGATCACCCTGAGGCAGATTTAATCTCTGAAGAATTTGAACTAAGATACACAAAGACTGAGGTAATCAGCAGTTGCTGAAGTTGTGAGGCTGCAGAGTTGGGTTCAGTTTGTACCACAGCAACTCAAAGGCATGATCAAGCTGAGGCTGAAGAGATAGGACTAACATGTCATCCTGTGTGAGGAAGCAGAAATGAAGAGGCCTTCAGAGAAACCAGTCTACAGAGAGAGAATAAAGCAGACGCACCGATGATTATGTCTAAGAGAAGAAAACAAAGGAGAGAGCAACACAGGGAGAGAGAGACACAGAGTGGAGAGCAGAAAGCAAGGAAAGTAGGCAGGGAACAGAGACAAACCTAGAGAGAGAGAGAGAGAAACAGAGTTGGGGAAGTCAGAGACACACAAAAGAGAGTAACCGGTGACTCTCTAGATCCTACAATGTATGACTATACTTCCTGCGATTAAATTCCATATTTCTGATTCTAACAACTCCTCTTTTACAAGCTATTTTAGGTAGATTTCTGATTTTTGCAACCATTCTTGACTTAAACAGCTGTTCCATGAAAGGTTTTAGACATAACTATAGCTGCATCTTCAAATGTTTAATTTCCAACTGTGGCAATATATATACTACTTCAGAAAGCTGGGTCATTGTAAAGATAAGGCTCTCAAGGAAGAGGCACTATAATTTCTTTTTAACATCTTAACTACTGTTTGAAGACAGACTTGGTTTATAGTAACAAAAGCTAATATTTACTGAGCAAGTCCCTTGGTAGACAGTTCCAAACATGCATGATCTCACCAATGCTTCACGACAATAAAAAAAAGTAGTTTCTATTATTATCAGTCCTATTTCACAGATTAGAAAATTAAGGCACAAAGAGAGATTAAGTAAGCTGTCCAAGGTCACACAGCCAATAAAGGGATAAAGTTAGATTTATTGTTTATTTACATTAATACTGACAGCTAAAAATAAAAAAGTTTATACATGCAATGCATTTAAAATTCATTTCAGTCAATAGATTTTTGCTGAATGCTATTATATGCAAAGTACTGATTTAAACTAATAAACTGGTCAACACTGATGCTATAAATATAAAGTCCTTTTAAATATTATTATCAAAATAAGTCTTCCTTTCTGTGGTCCAGAAAGGATAAAAGTTGTACTTTTAAATTAAGCTTTTCAATTTCCAAAATACCTCCTTTAAAACAGAAGGGAATACATTCCAACAACGCTATTTTGAATGCATTCATTATTTCAAAACTCACTGGAATATTTGAAGATTACTTGTTGCAAGCTGGACCCATGAAAATAAACTTGACTTTACAGAGAAGTCTATACTGATAAATACATATCTGTTTAATTAATTATGGTGTAAGTTACACACATGTATATAAAAAAGTAAAATGACAAGCACGAGAGGAGTTTTTCATGGAAGGTGGTGAGTTGCCATGGATTCTGCTTCTCTTGATTTTCTGAGGAGGGCTTGTTTGAGGGCACTAATTTTCTCATCAAGTTCAGCCAGTGAATAGTTCTGCTGTAAACAATAAGGACACAAATTGCTGAATAAGATTCTGAAGTATCTTAATGCAGATAAAGTGCTAAATGAACTATAAATATTTAAAATACTCAAAAGCATGATACATTTTTCTCATGAAAATAATTCTGAAACTAAACTATACATGTTGACTATATCATAAATTTAAAGGCCTAAAATAACAAATCTTGAATATTTTTTTCTTTTTTTTCTCTTTTCTAATGACTAGGCTCTTCTGAACCTTTTCTACTTTGAAAGAATACAAAATTGAAAAAACCTGATTATTCTCCTGATCAATAGTAGAAAAATTAAACTTTAGGATTAGCTTAACTGCCCAAAATACCTAGAAATTATCTTTTGAGGAGTAACTTTAATCAACTACTTTTCCTGGGGAAAAATAATGGCTACTCTCAAAAAAATCTACTCAAAATTTTACATTAAGGAAAAAAAGTGTTACTCTTAAATATTAAGTGTGCAAAAAATTTTTTTAAAGTTTTTCCCAACTTTAAATTTATACATCCATCATTAAAGGCTAGCAAAACCTTACTTTCTAAAATTCAACTAATTAGTAAAGTAGGACAGGAGTGGGCTGACGTCAACATCTGCCAAAAATTTTTTGATTTTCGTGCTGCTAATTAGTAGTGTCCACAAAAGGGGGAGTGGGAGGAGACAGAAGTCACTTGACACATTCCTCTAAAAGCAGGACAGGGACTTTTGTTTTATTTAAACCATCTGAGTCATTCCATGTCCATAAGAAATTTCTCTAATTCAAGTCTATTCGTTTATACGCTCTTTTCTTCAGTCCTAAATCTTACCAGGGCATGTCCTAAAAACCACCACAGGTAGAAACTTTTATTAATAACAAAAGTATAAAACTAATTAAACTATTTCAGAAGCCAAAATGAAGATGCAATAAACTTAACTTACTTGAGGTGGTTGAACCTTTCTTCTTTTTCCAGAAAAGTGCTAGATGAAAAGTTTTTTGAAAGGTAAGTAATCAATATGTAGAAAATCTAAGCATTACTTTTTCTTTACAGAATACTGTATAAACTAGGTAGAGTCTTTGAGAACTCTGACAAAAACAAAGTCCACCAACTCACCAAGCATTATTTGTAACTGTTATCTACCTTCTTATATTCTGGAAGTCACCCTTGGAAGATGATGATAATAAAAATATATGGTGGCAAAATGGCAGCAACATGCTTGTTCCCAGCAATTCGTAGTTTCTCATTAATTACCAGCTTCAAATGAGCTGGAGTGACTGTGGAGAGAGGTGCTCTGGGGATTTTCTACTTAGTTTCCTTTTCTAAAAAACTTTTTATCCCAGGATATTGAACAAGTAAAACAACAGTAGACAAAGGAAGGTGAAAGTCAGTATACTGTACCAGGCCAAGGGATGGAAACATACACACATACCCTGGACTGACTATAATGGACACTGTGATTGTGTATGCAAGCAGCTACCAAACCACTGCTTCTCTGTGTGATACCTGAGAGAATAGTCTTTTTGGTGACTGAAATGGGCATGGGTCCGATTCCAGCCAATGAATAGGAGAGGTCTGCTAGAGATTACGGGGCAAGCTTTGGAAGAAGCTTTCTCACTTCTTTTGAGAGGAAGCTCTAAAAAAAAAATTCTTCTGGATACTGATCTATCTGGACAAGACACCTCAGAGTGCTGTAGTCATCTTGCCATCTGCCTGGGAAATAAGCTACCACCCAGTAGAGTTAAGAGGGGAAAGAAACCAATACTTTTGACAATTATGATGTAGCCACTAAATCAATTAGCTCTAAAGACTATGGTATCATTAGACTTCTTATTTTATAATTTTCCATACTGTTTAAGCCGTTTTGAGTTCAAATTTCTTACTGTTGAAACTGACAATGTTTTCACTGACCCACTACTAGGCCTTTTAAACCTAGACCTAATTAGTTCTTTTTGACTTTGTCCTTAGTTTCACACACAAGCTTTTGAATGGCAAATTAGTAAATTAGTATACTTGACAAAGAAACTGAATGTAAGTAGCAACTTTTCTCATGAGTATTTTTGACCAGTGAGATTTAGAAGAGAAGGTTAAAACGCAGATCCTTTGTATCAAGTTGATTCAAAAAACATCTAGATATGCCTCTTATCAATAGTCATAATAAATGGGAAACCATTAAGTGTTGGAACAAGCAAATATGGAATAATAGAGCTCAGATAATTGTGCTCCTTCCTTTGCCAAACTGAGCTGGCTACCTGTGGTGGGGCCTATGGGCAGGTAAGGGCTTACTGTTTAATTGGGCCATTGCTCAGTCTCCTAACTTGCCAAGGGGTGGCTTTTTACACACCTGATGAAAATATACTTCCCCTTGTTTCCCTACAGTGTAACCTGTAGGATATTATAATTTCTATGTCATTAAGCAGTCAGATTATTACTACATGAAACCAAGTGAAAAATATAAGAATGGGGAGAATAAAGACATCAGTGGTTCAAAGACTTAAAAACACAGTAAAATGTGGTCTCTGGGGCTTATTTTAGGTCTAAGCAGAATATTGTGACAAATAGAACACTTAGAAACACCACAACTACTTGTGGGCACATTAGACTAGCTTTAAAATTTGTTTTAGGTATAAGGAAATCCCAGTACAGTCCCCAACTTGTGATGGTTATACTTAAGGAAACTCAAAAGTAAAGAGGCCTCTTTGATGAATGACTACCTTCTCTCCTTTTAATAAGTTGTAAAAGGCAATTGATTCTATACATGCAGTGTCTTAAATGTTTCTTCCCTTCTAGACCCAATGCCCTGATCAGCCCTTCATTTCTCTCTAGCTTGGACAATGACACTTTCCTTAAACTAGTTCCCTTGACTCCAATTTCTCTCCAACTCAACTTCATAATGCCACCAGACAGGAACCTAAATTACAGGTTGCTTTCTCAAAAACCTAAATGTACTCCAATGACACTGGAAGTGAAAATTCATTAGTGTGACCTTCAAGGCTCTCTAAAAAATTAGATTGCTTACAATCTAATTTTCCAGCTGAATTAGTTGTTCATCATGCTTTAGCCTCCCACTACCCTTCACTCACATATGGCCTGTGCACATGATGCTGACTTAGCTTTCAGTTTTCCCTTCCCCCAATACTTGCCTTTAGAACCAGAAGTACCATTACAGGCTAGAAATTATGCCTTGTCAGTGCTTTGGAACAATGTTAACACACCTTCAAAGCCCAATAATTAACTATCAGCCAAGTGCTATTCATTCATTCACACATCTACTCAATGTGTACTACATTCTGTGTGCTCAAAGATGAACAAGACAAAGTTCCTGCCCTTGAGAAGTTCAAAATATAACGTGAAAAACAGATATGTAAACAAATAATTATAAGTGATAAGTGCTATGAAATGAACAAAGTGCTGTAGAACTATACTTGTAAAGTATGTTATACTTACTATTTTCAAGTATCATAATTTAAAATCCCTAATCTTTGGAAATATTCAAGAAGATCATATCTTTTAAATAGTCTGTTAAGCTATGCCCTTAAAATTCTGAAGATGTTACATTAAAAAATCTTTCCATGTTTAATGTGAAATGGTAAAGATTTTTTTAGAACTATTACATTAAAAGGTACACCAAATATTAACCTTTGTCATAATTCCTGTATTACATACATCCTAACGTATTCTGAAGGTTTTATGTCTGTTTCACAAAAGAAAAAACTTTACATGATCTGATTTTGTTTTACACAGCAAATACAATTTACATATTTTTTCCAGTAATTCGTCCCTTTTCATATGCTATGCTTCCATGTTACCCATGGTAATCAACCATGATAATCAATCTCTATCCAATTGTAAGAAACTCCTCATGCTTAGAATTCATCTACATGTGAATCTGGATAAACACATTTCAATTAGAATTTTTTTTAGGAGTTCAGAAGTTCCAACGAAAGTTCAACCCTTAAGAATAATGAGGCCAAGCATGGAGGTTCACGTCTATAATTCCAACACTTTGGGAGGCTAAGGTGGAAGGATTTCTGGAGCCCAGGAGTTCAAGACCAGCCTAGGAAACATAGTGTGACTTTGTCACTAGCTGGGCAAGGTAGTGTGTACCTGTAGTCTCACCAACTTGGGAGGATGAGGTGGGAGGATCGGTTGAGCCTAAGAGTTTGATGCTGCAGTGAGCCATGATTGTGCCACTGCACTACAGCCTGGGCAATAGAGTGAGACTCTGATTCAATAAATAAAAATTAAATAAATAAAATTAATAGGCTCAACTTTCCCTTACTTTCTAAATTTAGACCTAGAGGACTGTGCTACGTTTATAATTTCTTCTATACACTTCTGAGGTCAATATGTAAAATTACGCAATTACAATTACCACATGTGTACTACCCGCATGAGGATGGTGAGAGTGATGAATAATGCACTATATCCTCTGCAGAGCGCATGCTCAACTCCTTGTGCAAGAACAATCCTAGAACTGGCTCTGGTGGTTCATTCATTCTAATATTATAAAAGGATAAGTATGACCTCTTCTTTCCCTTAGGGCCTGGGCCATATATGTTCATAGCACTGGAGGACAGAATCAGTCTGAATGTTTAAACCTTTTCAGTACTTTGTACTCCCTTGTAGCTCACTACTAATTTGATATGTCACTTCCAACACTAATCTAGAAGTGGTTCTTCTAATCAAAGATACATTGTTTTTAACAAATTTGGAAATACTTTTAAAAAGCACTAGTCTTATCACAGGCTGTCATCATCCATCCTTTTCTGAATGCCTAACACATCAAGGCCAATTCTGTTTACATTTACAATACTTGATGTTCCTGAAGTCAAGCAGTCGCCACGCCTCAGATTTCAGGCCTCAGATAGTCTATGGTCTTACCCATCAATGTTTTACCTATCTATCACTTCTGTGCAGACTTTCCCAATTGTCTCAAGTGTTAAGTGCTGAATCTCAAAAAGCTTATCTGATATTTTATCTTCATATCTTCCTATGACTTCATATTTGTATTTCCTACAAAAACAATTCCCTCTAGCTTTTCTTGTTTCTATCAATGATAGTATCATTTTTCCAACCAGAAACTTGACTCATTCTTGCTCTGTTTCTTTCCACATCCAATCATCAGTATTTGCCAACTTTTCTTTCCTATTTGCATTAACTTTTTTCTATTCTCACTCTTCCCTATTTCAGGATCTCACTTCACATGTAACATAGTATAACACTGTCTCCTTGTCCTCAGTTTTTCCCTTATCATTTATCTTCCCTAACTGTATTAGATAAATCTTTCTGAATATTGGGTTCACAAGTCACTTCCCTGCTCAAATGCTTTTAATAGATCTCCCTTGCTTAGAAAATAAAATGTAAACTTCTGGGCACAGCATTTAAGTTTCTCTACAATCTGGTTACTTCTGTCTCCTTAACCAAACACTCTAGCCTATGTACAACATCAGATCAAAACAAAACAAAAAGTTTACAATGGGTAATGCGTATTCTTTTGTTAACCAAGTCTATATGTTATGTTTTTATAAATCAGAATCAGAGAGGAGAGATAAATGATGTAGCAAGGTCTCACCAGAAACATCTGATATTACCACACTCTTGTAAGATCAGTTCTGTTGTCATAAATAATTATATTAATAAGGTATGAAATTGCTAGAAAAATACCCTTCATAGGGATTACTTAGTGAAGGCAGCTTGAATGGAAAAAACTTATGGTAGAGATTACTATTGGAAAAGTCATCAAATCTTTACAAAATTTCCTAGGAACATACATTCAAAGAATAATCCCAAATAGGAAAAGACTTTTATAATTCTCTAGTACCACCAACACATTTTCTAAAATTAGGCCAGATGAATAGAGTGCCTTTTCCACATTTATACAGCTACTTTACAGGTGGCTTTGGAATTAAATAAATGCTAATATTTACTGAGGTTTATACCATGTATTAGGCAGTGTGCTATGTAACTAGCATTATCTCATTTAATCCTTGCTTTGGCCCTTAGTATTTTTATAAAAGTCATTTTACATTTGAGAGCATTAAATAACTAAAATGTTCCTCTGAATTTTTGTCATGTAGGACTTGCTTCCCCTCTTTGTTATATAACCTGCCATCTTTTGGAAATACTTTTTTTCTGTACCTCACTCTAAGACATGAACTATAATGTCAGAAAGCTTGTTAGTATACCTAAAATGAAATACCTAAAATGAATTTTAAATGCATTTTCACCAGTGACTTATATTATCCATATTAAAATGAGTTATTTTATATCATTTTTCAGAAATAGTTTTAGTATGCTCTCTCACTTTTACCTTATTTTAGTTCTAAAGAGCTTTAAGATAAACCTCAGAAAAGCAGGTATTAAATAGCATAATCACCTCATAAAATTGAGGAAAATAACACAATGATCTCAAGATTATCTTTCTGAAAAAGGCTGATGTGCCAAAGAAAATACTTACCAACAGAGCACTGTTTTCTTAATGTTCTTGGAAAAAGAAGAATGAATGAATGAATACCACAGTTGAGGAATTAGACAAATATAGACAGTCTTGAAAAAAACCTGGTAATTAAGGTAAACATAGGGTGGCAGCTTGAAGTGTATGTTCTAGTATGGAGACATGCCACTGTATATGAGCTGAGGGAAAAAGTCAGTAGGGAGAGACTGAAGAGACAGAAAGGATAATAGAGCAAGGTCCCAGAGGAAGCCTTTGTTTTATAAGAAAGCAAGTTCAGAGTGACAGGCTCAACCACTATTCAGACTGATTTATTATGCCATGAAAACTGCCTAAGTTTGAGAACCTGAGTAGTGTATAATAAAAGTATCCCCCTTTTGGGGGGGGGGTTGGAGTCTCACTCTGTCACCCAGTCTGGAGTGCAGTGGCCGCTCCTGGCCACCTCAGGCTTGACCCACTGGGCTCCGGCGATCCTTCCATCTCAGCCTTCCAAGTTGCTGGAAGTACAGGCGCGCACTACCACGCCCGGCTAATTTTTGATTTATTGTAAAGATGAGGTCTTGCCAAGTTGCCCAGGCAGGTCTTAAACCCGCGGGCTCAAGCAATCCACTCACCTCAGCCTCCCAAAGTGCGGGATTACAGGCTGAGCCACCGAGCCTGGCTTAAAAGTATCCCTTTTTAAAAATTCTGAATTTGCAAAATATTCAGAATCATACTTTTTAAATAACTAGATACGGCCCTACACAGGACTGTGTTCATATATCTTTGAATTTTTTTTTTTTTTTTGAGTTGGACCCTCACTCTGTCGCCCAGACTGGAGTGCAGTGGCTGCTCCCGGCCACCACAGCCTCGACCTGCTGGGCTCCGGCGATCCTTCCGCCTCAGCCTTCCAAGTAGCTGGAACTACAGGCACGCACTACACACCTGGCTAATTTTTTTGATTTATTGTAGAGATGAGGTCTCACCACAAGTTGCCCAGGCGGGTCTCGAACCTGCAGGTTCAGGCAATCCACTCACCTCAGCCTCCCAAAGCGCGGGATTACAGGCTGAGCCACCGAGCCCGGCCATCTTTGAATTTTTTTTAAGTGCTTTGCATATAGATCACTGAGTGAACTGTTACACCACAAAGAACTTTAAAATAAAATAACATTTTTATTTATTTTTAAAAGACATGTAATACTCACTACAGATTGAAAATATTCAGGAGAGATGCCTTCCAATTCAAGGATTTTATCCTCAAGTTTTTTAATTCTCTGATAAATGTCTCTTGGCACCGGACCACCTAAATACATTAAAAAAAATCCTGAAACACCATTGAATAATTATTTTTTCTTACAATTTTTATTCTTAAAATACCATGCAAAGACACTTATGCAAAAAATGGGAAATATTTAAACTTAAGAAAATAAAAAACAGAAGTAAAACAATGAAATTCTTAGCCCATATTTTCATTTTATATACTATGGAACATATTATACTCCACTTCCCTCGTCAAATCCCATTTATGCCTCCTTTATTGTTAGGAGTTTTATGTTAAATTCACTTTACAAGACACTGAACAGCTTCCATATAGAACAATATGTATGTCTAATAGGCTTTGTAATTAGATGGGAGAAGAAAAAGGCATAGTGGCAAATGATAATTCTACTCAGTGGTTGCAATGTCAAATCATTATTGTCTTCAATTTATAATTCTCCCTACATGTTATATTTTTTCCTTTGACCCAGAAGAATGTTCAAAAGGGGCCTTACCATAATTCTAAATGAACAAACTTTCTGGGGTAAGTTGGTAAGTCAAGGTCAACCAAATTTCAAGTTCATAATTATATCCAGAGTCCTTCTACTTCTTACCACCTCTACCCTATGACCAATTCTGGTTCAGACCACCACCATCTCTTTTTGCATTATCACAACCCCCAAATTGGTCTCCCTGTTTCTGTCTTGCTTCCAGACGGTGTATTCTCAACACAGAAGCCAGCAATTCTTTTAAAATTTAAGTCAGATCATGTCACCTCCCTGCTCAAACCATTCCAATATTTTACCATTTCACTCAGATTAAAAATCAAAGCCCTTACGATGGCCTACAAGGCTCTTCACAAGTTGGACATTCTCCACATGCCCATCTGGTTCTAGCCACTTGATTCCTTTTTTTCTGTTATTCAACTAGGCCAAGCACCCTGTCAGCTTTAGCAACTATGGTTCCCTCTACCTCCAAAATCTCAAGGTTTATTTACTCTTGCCAACTTCAGATCTTAGCTCAAAAGTTACCTCATCAATAAGGTCTTCTCTGGTCATCTATCACCTCTTCCTATCCAGGGCTATCCATCCTCCATACTTCATTTTCTCTATACCATTACTGTGACCCAGTATCTTGTACATTTGTTTATTTATTGTCTGTTTCCCCATTCTAATGTAAACTCTAAGAGGACAGAGAGTTTTTATCTGTTTTGTTCATTGGATATGGCTGTGCAGCTTGTGCACTGCACAAACCTAGGAAGCATCAGTTCAAAGGTCACAATGCCTGGCACAGAGCAGATGCTCAATATTTAGTGACTGAATGAATATATGATTAGACAATCATTATGCAATTTAAATTTTTATATCAAAAGCATGAACATGTTAAATATAAAAACTACAATTTCTTTTTTTTTTTTTTTTTGGAGAATGTGTTTTTATCTTAGGACCTTGACTTTTCTTGCTCTTGAATTAGGTAAAATAAATTACTTTGACTTTGCGCTTGCTGCTCCCTTTACCTACAATGTCCTCTACCTAACCCCTGTACTTTTTGAGAGCCAATTCAAGGTTCACTACTGGGTCAGTGAGGCATTGCCTGAACCTCTTCACATAGATGCTCCAAGTGCTCCCACCATTACCTTCTACACTGGCCATTTTTGAGATAGGGTTCTTGCCGTGTTGTCCAGGCTGGCCTCAAGCTGTCTTCCCACCTCAGCCTTCCAAGGAGCTGGGATTATAGGTGCACACTGCTATGCCCAGCGTTTACTGACCCTTGAAAATTCCATCACTATTAATCTTTCTCCCACCTAAATTATAAAGTTCTTGAAGCTAGGGACTATGACTATATCATTTCAATATTCCTTGTGCTTGGTGCATAGGAAGCATCCAACAGATATTTTTCAATACTAGAGATTTAACCAGTCAACTCTTTTCTATAGTTGACATTTAAATCTATCCACTTCTGAGGAAGGGGATTAATTCTTAATGCTAATATCTTATTACCCTCAGAGACTCATTCATTCTCTTATTTTCTTCTGCCTCCATCCAGCAATACTTTAGCCAGACTGGATTCAGAAATTTTGTGCCCTGTCCTTTCTTGCAAATGCTGTTTTCTATTCTTGAAATGCTATGATTGGGGAAAATTCCTACTAACCTTCAAGGGCTCACATGTCACTTCATCAGGATGCCATCCCATGACCTCCCGAGAGAGTTGAACACTAACTTTGTGCCCCACTGTACTGCGCACATATCTGAAAAGGTGAAATGAGTAATTGTTCACTCAATAAGCATTTGAGCACTTGCTTTGTGCCAGGCACTGTACTATTTAATGTAATAATCTAGCAAAGGAAACAGACATTAAAGAAACAGAACCATGAAAACTGCTCTATTTTTTAATTTTTTTAAGTTTTAAAAAGTTTCTTAGAGAAAGAGAGGAAACAAAAGACAGGCAAAAGCTTTGTATCAGAAAGGCCTGGCATGGGTAAGTCTTGAAAAGAAAAAAGAGTTATCTGGTTTAAAGGTGGGCAGGGAATATACGTTCTATGAGGCTATACAAAAGAGAACCTACACTGGTCTGGGATCAGGAAGGAACAGCATGGACAGAAGGACAAGCATGAGTATAAAGGCCCTGGGGCAGCAAAATAAATGGGAAATAGGAAGCCCAGAGATGTGGCTGGAACTACACCTGTGGACCATACCAATTAAAATTATAAACCCCTCAGATCCCAATATCCAAATTTTTAGCCGAGTTGAGAAGCAAGACTTAATTTGAGCTTTAGAAAAAGCAATCTGGGGTCAGACATGGTGGCTCATGCCTGTAATCCCAGCACTTTGGGAGGCTGAGGTGAGAGGACTGCTTGAGCCCAGGAATTCAAGGCCAGCTAGGCAACATAGTAAGACTCTGTAACTAAAAAAAAAAAAAAAAAATTAGCTGGGCATGATGGCATGTGCCTGTAGTCCCACCTACTCAGGAGGCTGAGGCTGAAGGATTGTCTGAGCTAGGAGGTTGGGGCTATGGTGAGCTGTGACCATGTCACTGCACTCCAGCCTGGGCAACAAAGTAAGACCCCAACTCAGGGGATTAAAAAAAAAAAAAAAGCAAAAAAAAAAAATCTGGCCAAGGGTGGAGAATGATCTAGAAGAGAAAGTGTAGTGGCAAACAGACTATTTCATTTCTTTTCATCAGTCCAAAGTAGAGAGCAAAGTAGCTTCAACTATAGTAGTAGCTGTAGAGATGGACAGAAGTGGACAGATTTGGGAGATATTTAGAAGGCAGAGTCAACAGGACGTGGAGACTAAATGGGAAGGGAGACTAAGGTTCTGAAGCCAATGAAGATTTGGGTTTGATTTCCAGTTGTCAATTGTTATCCTGGGCATGTTGCTTGAGCCTTTTAAACTTTAGTTTCTTTGTACGACAATAACACCACCAACACCTCAAAAGATACTGTTAAGTATTAAGTGAGTTGACATATACATAATACTTTGATGGGCATTTACTATTGTCCAATAAATGTTATTTCACTTTCCCTATGGCATTTATTTTTATATATGCTTATACTCACTGAGAGATCCTTAAAGACTAGGACCACATTTATCAACACTTTTGTACCTAGCACAGTGGGTGATAGAATTGAAAGATGGTCATAATAAGTTATGAAATTGGAGATAGGCAAAGACTACCTTCGTTTTCAGCTGTGACTTCAATAAAGTGAGGCTATCAGAATCTATTCGGTGTCTATTATCATTCTACCTCTACTCTCAGTTTTAGAAAGTGGCAAGAAGTGTGAGGGGAGAAAAAGCCAAAATTTTAATAAGAATTATAAATTTCTAAAGACAAGAGACCACGCTTTATTCAATTTTTGTACCAACCAGAACAATATTTTATGCAGGTGCTCAATGAAAATTTGGTAACTAAATAAATTGGGATGTTTAAGCCACTCAAAGGTACATAAGGGGCACCACCTACCATTTTGCTTACCTGTCTGTAATCGCAAGTGGGCCTCAATATTTTGTAGTCGTTCTTCTACAGCCTGATTACCACAATCTCGAAGCATGCTGTTAGGTTTATGACCTGACCCTTGAATTCCTTCAGTTCTAGTCTGTGGTCCATATGTATTCACAACTCTAGAAACTAAATTAAGAAACTTTTGAGTCTATATAAATTTATATTTCAAGAATCAGAAATTTTTTCTACTAGTGTTCTATATTCTTTTCACAAAGACCATCTAACCACAAACCCAAGTACATATGAAGAAAGGCAAAATTTTTTATTTTAAAATTTAAAAAATTTAGATGGGAAGTTATTTCTATCTCATTTTGCTAGTAATCTAGAATAAGCTTCCATTGGTGACTCAGATATTAAGTGCTGGTTACTTACCCTTCACGTGACTTTTGAATCCAGGATAAGGGGTAAAAACGGCATCAGTTCTTGCACAACTATTTTCTAAGAAGAATTTAGATGAATATAAATTTAAATATATTCTTCACTTCAAATGTATGAAATTTTGATGAACTTCCAATAATTCATATTAATATATTACAGTAGAATTTTAAATAATAGATACTAGAAATAATAATTAAATTATCATCACACACTGAACAGATTTTAGTGACCTTCTTTACCCTCGAAAATGTATCATGATATCTAATGTTCAGATTTACATACAGAAAACCCATTAAGTGGCATAATTTAATATAATTTTAAATGAAAACCAATATTCCTAAAACTATTTGGGCCTCTGGAGAAAATAATCTGTATGTTATTTTAATTCAACTTCATCATAGAAATAAAACTCATCATTTTTACCAAAAATCTTTTTTTAAAAGTCCAGCATTTTTTATATTACTGACCAAATTAGTAAACACCTAATAAAAAGTTTAATTATACATTTAATATCTTTATATTTCATAATTTCACAAACAAGACTTTGAAACCTCAAGTGCACATACTTTTTCACTTTACCTAGATTTTCAGTGCCCATCATTTAAGAAAACCCTAATCACAAAAGTTATCTGCTTTTTCCCTTCCTATCGTTTTCAAAAAGTGCAATTTTAGAAAAGATATACTGTGAAAAATTGTTCCTATTTTTTTCTAAGCTGAAGTATAGTTTCTTTTGAATTAGATAGCAGCAAATAAATTACAAAGGGAGAAAACTGGAAAGATGTTATATGTAATACTACTATTACATGAAGCAATTATGTTACTACTAACATGCATATTAACATGTACTAAATAGTAATAATATATTTGATCTTTGAAGTAACAATGTGTTGGAAAATTTCCTGCAAAATTCCCTTGATTCTTGTGTGAAAAATGGCTGGTAAATGAGATACCAAAAGAAAATTCTTTTTGATTTTTTTTTAAAAAAATCATTGTTTATATTTAGGTTAACTTGATAGGTATTAAAGGAAACACACTAGCCCATTAAAATCCATTTGTATTTCTTTTAGTCAACATTTCCTTAGTAGTTTTGCTATATCAAACTGTATGATTAAATTCTAAATCTATGTATCTTTTATACCTAGAGACTAAACAGAGAGTCATCTTTTCTTTTTTTTTTTGAAACACCTCAAAATATGCTCTAAGGGGCCATCCCTTCTCTTTTCTCTTTCTACCATTTCATGAGGCTAAGGGTTAAAAAAAGGAGCTATCATCCATTCCAGAGCTATATTCCAAACATACAGATTAACTGACCAATCAGTGAAATATTCAGCATGGTGTGAAGATAGTGAATGTATGAGTGCTAGTCACTCTCCACAGCAATTCTTGCTAGCACTGTTTGGAGCCAGCAAGGGATTGAATGGGCCAAGGAATCCTGCTGAGCATTTCAATTCTTGTCAATTTCTATCCCCTGGTGGTTTATAATAATAGAGTTAGCAGGGAGAACAGAGAATAACATTAGTGACACATGTGCTTGCTCCCTCAACAAACCCTTTCTCATGGGTTGCTTGTCGCTGGATTGTAGTACCTGAGATTTTGCCAGTTGCACCTGTTCTGACAAGCTAACAGGAAAGTATACCAAATTTAGAGAAACACATGTAAAGTGGTAATAGGAGGACCCAGCTGAACTTAGGACCCAACATAAAGTCTGTATCATTTCATTATTAGGAGAATCAGTGTACCAATGTGATACGAATCACTTCGAGATGATATAACAATTCTGTGTTCATAATAATTAGCCATGAGAAAGTAGAGGCCACAAGAAAAATGTTCATTCCAATTATGAACTCTTTGCATAATTTTTTAAAGAACTACTTGTTTTGATTATTACTATGATGCCTGAGTATGATTTATGGCAGTGCTTTGCAATATTTTGTATTCTGCTGCATACCTGCAGATCTGTAAACATACTATAGCATCAAGTGGAGAGGGAAAGGAGAATTTGATGAAAAACAGCAAATGTATGCACTATGAGAGAAAGGAAAAAAGCTTAAGACACCATGGTCTTCATGACAAATTAGTTCTATCGTGACATAAAACATTTCAAACAGCTCAGGAGTAGTGAGAAAACTGCTCCCTCTGGAGGAATATTAACTTTACTAAGTTCACTTTATGTATTAACATCATAACTTCACAAGTACATTTTCAGGCTTGACATTTATACAACTCAATTCCTTTCACTAGTGGGACTGATCAACCCTGCCTCTCACATTTTACTTCCTAAAGGAACTTTAATTTTTTCACCTGTGGTAAACATCAGCCTCTTTATTGTTAGCATTTATTTAATTTCTGTGTAACCAAAATGAAAACCAGTTTTGCAATGTAGTCTACTATTAAACAGAAGGAAATTCCACTGCCTTAGTTATTAACTAAAGCTGTTAAATAAATTAAATTGTGTTCTTAGTGTTAGTCATTAAAAAAAACAAACGAAAGGTTAGAGCAACTGCAAAAATTGTGATTAAAATCCTATGAAAATTAACTTCTAGGTGGTTACCTTGATTACAATCAATAACATTGCAAAATTCCCTGACGTTGTTTTCATTGATTTCAGCTTGCTTTCTTTCAATAAATGCAGAGATTCTTCTGTCAATCTACAAACAACAAATACGTTTTAGCAACATAAACACAGTAAGATTTTTAAAAGTATACCCCCTCCCCCAAAAAACTTACTTCTGCTTTTCCAGCCTTTATTTGAACTACTTCTGGATCAAAATGGATCTGTGTCTTTTTCACATCTCCTAAATCACAATCTTTGTGCTTTTCTTCCTCTTGTAGGTCGCCAGTGGAAAAGTTGGCATTTGCTTCATTCTGGTCCTCTGCTTCTGTTTTTCCTATCTCTTCAACAGAAGTTGTATTCTCCTCTTTAATGAGAGGCTGAAGTTTTGCTAAAAAAGGCTGTGAACAACACAATTCTATCTGTTGGAGTTCAAACTAACCAAAATTAATTACACATTTAATATATTTACATAACTTTCTTCTAAGTAAATATTTAATATTAATTACTAAACATAAAAAGTTGCTACACCAGGATACATAGATATGACCACATATAAGTGTTTACAATTCTCTGCTATTGTGATCATTATCATTTGCTGTAAATTTATTTTAAAAAAGGAAAGAGAGAAAAAAGAAAGAAAACCTGAGGAAATTCAAAATTTTCTTTGAGGGAATCATTCTGTCACTCATCTTTTATTTTGTGCCAAATCAAAGCCTTCAGCCTCTGGCACCAATGCCACTTAATTAACATGTCATTCAAATGCCTCCTCAGAACACTAAGGCTTAGTATTTTTCTTCCTTAACATGAGAGCCCAGTGCTCTCACTCAGCAAAGCCCTGCATTATCACTATATCACTGGAGATTCTCTACTTGAAACTGCAGTTGGCCAATGTGAATGAGAGAGCATAGACATGGAATATATAGGTGTTATGCTAAGTGAACACTCACTTTTCCTGACATGGCAAAATATCATCTCGAGTTACAAAATTAAATTTTAAAAAATAAAACAAATTAGGAAAAAAACACAACACCCTACTGAGATCCATAAAGCTCTGTAGCTGAAAACAGATAGATGGCTATCACTGTACTGGAGTGGGGGGAAAACCTTGTTGTACAATATAAATTATATTATCCATTTACTGTCCCCTCCCCCCCTCCACACAATTACCCTCCCTCCCTCCACACAATTAGGCTCATTTGAGTTCTTCAGCTCACTGCTCTGCCCTTTAAAAATAGGGTTAACTATTAGTTTTAACATGGAACATAGCGTTAAATTTTCCTACAAAGTCATTGAATAGAGGGCTAAAAATTAATGCCTATTACATTAGGCAAAACACAAAAACACTTATCAATGTTCCAATTATATTTTTCATACCTACAATTTTGCTTCCATTGTCTGCTATACTAAATATTCTTCTGAAACCTTATACACCTTAATCACAGTAAACTGACCAATCCAAACAGTTCTTCCACTCATCTTTTTGACATTTCACATTTTACACTTTGATTAGAGATAAACTGCAAACTTATACCGATTATAATTGCAGAAATATTCAATTAGAAATCAGCAAAGTCATAATACTGTTCAGTTACTGAACTAAATATTAAAAAACATAACAATACTATTATAAATAACAAATCAGAAGTCACTTCTAATATACAGAATGAATTATTTCAAACTGTTAAGAAAAGATAAAATAGTGACTGGTTACTTACTAAGATGAGACATTAATGTCACAGAAATTACTTTCTTTTTAAAAACTATGCTGAAACTGTTTAATTGCAATAGACACTCCAGGATATGTCATGCTGGGATAATGCCACTTCTTGAACCACTGAAAGCACTCCATGAGCCTCCAAACTCACCCAAGGCATGGAATCATTATCATAGCATGACACACACCTGCCGTGTCTTATTGCTTAATTATAACCCACCATAGATGGAACTGTATTGAATTTTCAGTGCAAGTCTAAAATTGAATAGAATTGCATTCGTTCAATCTCATACCTACATCAGCCTAGTGGACTGTATTCCCTTAACTGTCCTGATCACTGTTGAAATTAACAGATTTACATCCAATCTAGACGTAAGTAAACTTTTATTAGTAAAACTATTAATATAGTGTTAAGACAGAACTGACAAATAGGCCAGCTAATTTAACCACAATTAATTTCTATGTTCAATATCGAGTTAACATTTCTAACAAGAAATTTACCTGTAAAAACAAAACGTGTTGCTCAAGTGCACTAAAGAGCAGTGCAGGCTGGAATGCCGAGAGGCTCTGGAGCTTGTTCCAATCGATTGTAATTTTCACCACATCATCTCTGAGGTTAAGCTTCAAAGGGGCAAACCAGCAACATCACAAAAATGACATTATTAAGCTGTATATACGGGGCTGTCGCACAAAAAAAAAGATATCTATAGAGTAACGTGATTATTTTGCTCAAAATTATAAAGTTTTTAAAGATACATTAAAATGCTCTACCTAGTTACCATTTTAAAAGTCCAAGAAAAGTGATTCTCTCTCTCTCTCTCTCACACTCACACACACACAAAATGATATCTAATATTATTCTTAGATCTGTGTAATGGGATCAATTTAGAGGTGAAACCATCCATAAAAGATGAAAAGATGAAAGCTCTTTTGGTATGTCAATATCTAAAAACCTTTGGATGGGGTCCAAAATAGACTTGCCCTAATTCAGAATCCAACTACTACTAGGCTCAGAGCATTAAGCAGAGGAGGCACACTGGTTTATGAAAGTTCTAATATTTGTTAAATATGTTCACTAATATGTATCAGAAATAATCTGATGTCACATTAAATCACATTCTTATTGTTATCAACTTTAACCAATTTTTAAAATAACTTAAAAATCAATACTATTCATATATATAGTCTAGGGATAAATGGCAACATGTTTATCTACTTCAAATAAAAAAATATTATTTAGCTATGAAGTTTGAAACTAACTGAAAAACAAATACTTCTCCACAACAGTGAAATAAATTGCCAGAAACGAGATGAAATGTCTGTATCTTTTGTTAAATACTATCTTCTAATAAAATGTGAGAGCTCATTATATAACAATTTCTTACCAGTTAGTGATATAATAGAATAAAATAATTCCCAGAAAACTAACCAAGACCCTGAATATAAAATTAATAACAAAATCTGTCAAAATTATAGAGTGAGAGCATCCATCAGTCTTTTGAGTAAATAAAAGTGAACCACCATAAACTTTTCTAGGGACGTATTTATAACAAAATGTAAGGATATATTCCATAGTAGAATTAAGTTAACTAAATTTATTTTTCAGAAATAATTTATAAAAAAAGTCAATCGTTTTCTATGAAATAAAGATATGTGTTATATGAGTTCAAATACAGATTTTATGAGGTGTAATTATAATAAAAAGATAAATCACTGTAGTAAGGATCAAAGAGATTCAAGGTTACTAATAAAAAGGTAATATATTGAAATAAATACTATGTGACAGAAATTTACTGCTCTTGGAACATGAGACCAGAAGTGTAAAGAAATATGAAATTTTATGTAGGCTACACTGGCAAAAATTAGTTTATAATAATTAAGATTTCACATTAAGATTAATGCATTAAGATTAATTTAATTTATATTCCTTTAATGCCTATCATTTGTTAGACCATAACTTATTATGGAAGTAACCCATTATTATATTTTTATAGTCCTCAGAAAAACCTATAATTGATTGTAGCAAATTTATGAATATGATTTGAGGATAAAGCAGGAAAAACCAAAAGTAAAGCATCACAATTTCTAGAGAAAATAATTTATAGAGAACAGGTCTTAATGTTTGGATCATATTTTCATTTCAATTCAGCAGAATTATGTAAGCCTTCAAGTGCAATTAAAGTAATTGGTCTTTTAAGAAAACTACATAATAATGTCATAAATTAATTCTAAAATTATCCCAATACATCTAACCATTCATTCAACAGATTCCTTATATGTAATATGAATGCTATGCATTTTTATCCTATAGAACTTGGAAACTACTCACTTAAAAAAAAAATCTCTGTAAGTCTGCTATTACCATAAACTTTAAATATGCATTTTCAGTAAAAACTTTATCAAATTACTTCAAAAATCCAAGCTACAAATAAGTAATCCTTTGGCTTGGTAAACGGGTCATGCAGAGGCAAGCAAAAAATGTTACATTCAGTAAATGTTGAGATCTAAAGTAGAAAATTCTTCTTAACATGTTTCCTACTGGGAAACAGTAATAATAATACAATGATGCTTAGAATGATACAGGATGAACTTAGGCATATTACAAACACATTTTAGAAATCCTTTAAACTTATTGCAAAGAATACACTGATTACCCTGGGGGCAATTTTATAAGTATGGTACTTTAGTTTTCATAATTCTTAAACGGCACTTCTCAAAATATAAAGGATTACCAAAATGGCTAGCATTTAAAAGATGAGACAATCTTACTCTGGATACTTTTATAGAAGGTCCCTTTACTCTGTCAGGGTAAACTCACCAAATATTTACTCTAAACATTTTTGACCCGTGACACAGTAAATTTTAATCATTTCTCTACTTGTAATTTTAGAATATCTGAATGTTTAAAAATTTTATATTAGTTTGAAAAATTCACTATGCAAAATATTTCAAAAGAAATGTTTAAATCATTGCTTAATATTTTTTAAAAATATTACATCATTGACAAAAACCTTCTGTAAATAATAAGTGAACAAAAGCTTTTTTCATCTTGATCTCAGAATATGAATAAACTTTACAAGTCCCAATGTCACCACAGAAAGTTTGCTAACTTTTAAACCATTTAAAGGTCTTGGGCCTTAAGACTGAAATGTTAATAACCAAAGCCCCCAAGTCTTAAAAAAATTTTTTTTTCGGTGGGGGGGTAAGTCCTTGGCAAACAACTGAGTGTGAGAGTTATTATCTCTTAGGAAATTATTTTAGTGATTGCTTCATTACAAAACTGCTTCATTACAAAACAGAATATTTAATTTACAGTAATGTCTTTGTCAGTCACAACAAACATGCCAAGAATTTTTAAAATATTGAAATAACTTTTTAAAACAGTGAATTGCCATCTATTCGAGGCTTTTAAAAAGGATTTTCACAAATCAGACAAATGCTCTATTTTCATAGGAATTTACCATTATCTTTGATACAAATGCCTGCTGTGCCTACTACATGGACTAGTATCAGTACCCAAACAAGCTTTTACAGCTAGAAAATAGACCATGTAAGATACAAAAGAATATTATCCTTTAAAAAGCAGGTAAGCAAACATGCTTTTAAGTTGTTTCTCATTTAAAATTTGCTTTGAATTTCACACCATGAAACAATATGGTGAACTTGATTGAATAGAGTGTAAGGAGCCCACATTTTAAAACTCAGTTTGACTCTGACATTTCTGCAAAAGCGATTAGTCGGTTAAACTAGTTAACAGTTAAACAACAGTTCTAATGCAAAAGCATCAACCATGAATAACTCATTTAACTTTACACGAGAAATATTTTAGATGAATTCCCAGTACTTTCCTCCCCGTTTGAAAAGGTAATAGATGCACACAACGGCCAGAAGGAAAAAATAAAACCAAGTGACCCATAAGAGCAAATCAAACCCCCCCTCCCCCAAAGAAGGAAGAAAGCGCGCTTTTCCAAAAATCTCAGGCCGTACTGACCAACCAATTCCTACAATGAATAAGTTGGAGGAAAAAGGACCCTGAGCGTCAGACGCCTCCTAAACTCTTAGTGAAGCTTTTCCGCAGGGATCCTCCCCAAGCCTGCTCCTCTCAGAGCTGGGTTTCTACTTAGACCATCCTCACTCTTGGGGAGGACAGCTGCAAGGCAACCTAGTTTGAACTAGTACTGAACTAAGCCGCTACTGCCGTCCTCCTCTCTCCGACTGGGGACTGCAGAGCCCGGGATTCTCCCCAAGCCTCAGCTACTTTGGCCGCACCCCACACCTCGGCTGCCCCCAGCCGCCACTAGATGAAAAAAAACGGGGGGGAGGGGCCGGTGGTTCCCATTCCCCCACCACTCGGGCCACCTCTCACCTGTCCAGTCAGAGTGTGCAGGGAGCGAAAGATTTCGAAGAGCACCTCTTGGGTGAGGCTGGGGCTGCAGCTTCTCTCCAGGCTCCTGTCACCGCTACTCGGACGATTAAGCTCCGAGGCAGCGGCCATGATACCTCCGCAGGCCGCCCCGCCACCGACAGCACCACAGCCGCCAAGGCTCGCTCGCAACCCCACCCCCTCCCGCTCCTAATTTCGTCGCTCGGCGATGACGTAAACACAGCGTCTGGTTTAGATCGGGTCTTTGAGGCCCCACCCTCTCTATGTGACTGACACGCACATATACCAATCAGGTGCTCTGCGCCGAGGCTCTGGCGCGAGTAATTACCGACCAATGCGAGGCTGCATGCTAAATTTGGGAATGGTGACTGGAGTCGTTATCAACGTTGTGAAGGGTTAGTGTCAAGAAGCCGACCTCGACTCTTAGATGTTCCTTTTGAATGTTGGTAAGAGGCGTTACATGTTAGAGGGTGAGTCCCAAAATTAAAAGTTGAAGTCTTAACATGGCGGTGTGGAGTGGGTCTGGAGAAAAGATTGTTGGTCCGGGCTGGAGCGGTGCCCACACGTGTTTCTGAACACTGGAAAACTCATAAGAATGTTCACAATTGTATAGAACATTTTCATCTCTTCAAGGTTGCTTAAAACTTCGGCAAATCAACACTGCTAATTTTTCACGCGGGGAAGGAGAGGTTGTAAAAGAACAATAAAAGAGTTCCATTAATGCCTCATTTTACTATTGAGGGAGACATTGATGACTTTAAATCAAAAGTTATGTCAACGTTTAAAATATCCATTAGTTGTCATTCTCTAACTGTAAGAGTTGCTCAACCCTAAAATTGTTTCAAAGAAGTGAAACACTGTCAATATGATTCCAACAGGAATTTAATCTAAATAATGTCATGCAACCACAGTCTTTGAAATTAGTACATAAACTGAATTGAAATTTGAAAAAGTGTTGTTTTTCACATATCTTTATCATAAAGTTGTTCAAAGGACTTCATAATCTTTTAGTGAGACTCAGACTTTTTAAAAAGTGTTATCCAGCCTCCCCAAAACAAGCACGTTTCAGAAAAATTTTTTAGTATTAAGCTCTGCTCAAAAACGCTTTTAAAAAATAAACATCAGTTTAGAGATAAGGGTCAAAGGCTTTAAAACTCTTAATTCTAATAGTCTAATGCAATTACAGTAGAGGAAGACAAGGTGGAAAATTGTACAATGTGTATTATTTAGTTTTAGAGTAGACTGAAAGGGAAGGAATAAGGTATCAGGGAACTGGGATAAAAGAACTCCTTTGACCTTCCCCTAGGGAGTCTTTTAATTGGGTTTTTATTTCCAAAGACATGTGATTGTGATATCACTAGGTTTAACAGGATCTTGAGAAATCTTGTCTTTTCCCTTGTTAGCAACAAGATATACAACTGATAGTCCAGCCTATGTCTAGAGGCAGAAAGACTTCACAATATCAATTCTAAATTGAGCAACCCTCTCTTCAAGCCTCTCATCCCCAGATCTAAGTTCATGATTCTTTGCAATCTTAGCATATTTTCTTTGCCTACAGTTCTCTTGTTAATAGAGAGTAATTGTAATAGAGTAACTAGATGTTTTGTTTTGCACCACATTAGCATTCAGTTTCAGATGATTTGTTTTCATTGAGGTGTGAAGTATTTTTTCAAATATGCTGGGTATTGCTATGCAGCACATTTGGGAATATGCTTGGTACATTAAAAGAACACCATGTTTAACAAGGTGCTACTCAGTCCTTTCTTTGCCATCACTGATTTTGAAATTCCAAGTTTTTCTTGTTCCCTTGAACCCCTAATATAGAACTAGCTGATAGCCATTTGATTTGTGTGTTGGTTCTCTATGTAATTCTGTGATTCAGTGTTCAGATTTGCACTTGTATCTTAGTATACAGGTTGAGTATCCCTAATCTGAAAATTTGAAATCCAAAATGCTCCAAAATTTGAAGCTTTTTGAGCACTGATGCCACAAGTGGAAAATTCCATACCTGACCCCATGTGACAGGTTGCAGTCAAAATATTAATACAGTCAAATCATTTCATGCACCAAGTTATTTAAAGTATCATATAAAATTACCTTCAGGCTATGTGTGTAAGATGTATACGAAACATAAATGAATTTTGTGTTTGAGCCTGAACCCCATCCCCAAGGTAGCTTATTATGTGTCTGCAAATATTTCAAAGTCCAAAAAAATCCGAAATCTGAAACACCTTTGGTCCCAAACATTTAGATAAGGGATACTCAACCTGTAATACTCAGAATTTGTTAGCTCTTTTGTGCATTATTTCTTTCTGAGGACCATTCTTACTCCTTCTTGATGCCTATTGCCTTCATTTTTATTTTTTTCTCATTTTCCTCTCTTATAGTAGAAAATTCTAGTTTAAATAGAAGAATTTGTAGGCTGAAAAAATGTGAATTCCTTTGGACTAATTCTAAGTAGAAATTTATAGATATTGTATGAATATATATATAACAAAAGTATAATAAAAGCTATGAAATATAGAGAGGGAATAAAGGAAATAATTTGCTCTTTATAGAAAACTAATTACAGTTTATGAAGTGGGTTGCTGAAAAATCTGCTGCCTGGCAGAAATGATTCAAAGTGTTGATGCTGGCGTTAGCGACAGAGTTAGAAATACTGTCCTGCAAGCTTATGCCAAGAATCAGTTGGGAGGATGGAAGCTATGAAAGAAATCTAGGCTATCTACCTTATCAACAGAAATGTTTTCTATAATGATCTTTAGTGGTACAACTCTATTAAATGATGCCAGCAAAATACCCGAGGTATTATACGTGCTCAACTGATGTTCATTGCATGTATGATAATACAAATTCTTCCCAATGCAGAAAAGGAAAAATACATATTTCTCATCTCTGGTTCACCATTATCTGCTATATAAGTCCAGGTTCCTTAGAATGATAATTAAGGATCGTCTTATGAACTGTCCTTTGCCTAAATTTCCAGTCTCATTTTCTGCCACAAACTATCTGGTGGTTAATGCTCCTGAAACTGCCTTTACTTCTTCAGAACTTTATTATTTCCTGCCTTTGTGCTTTTATTTCTGCCTTCTGCTTTATGTCTGTATGGAAAATTCCTTTTTCATCTTCAAACTCCAATTAGAAAGTCTTCTCTGGAAAGTCTTTCCTCATATCCCTCCTCATAAAGAGTGTCTTTGTTCCTCTGCTAAACTGTTCCTATAACTTGAATATACTTCCATAATTGTATTTATCATATTGGCATTCAAATTTATCTGAATGCTTCTGTCTCCCTGTTGAATTATAAGCATTTATATATAACATTTTGCTGTACTTAAGACTTAGCATAGTTTCTGGCACAGAATAATTGCTCAGTATATGGTTGTTGAGCTGAATTTGTCTGCCAATCTAAAGTGAACAGATTTGTAAAATGGAAAAAAAAGGAAACAAGTTTCTATTTTTGAGGAAAGATTGTAATGCATAGTAAAAATGCTATAAACAATTCATTTCAAATAATAAAGCATGTCTGTTTATTCTCTTTTGGGTCAGCAAACTCAGTGTTCACATTTTTCTTAAGTGAAAAAGTATAGCTACCCTCCACAACCATTTTCATGAATGATACCCATACAAATTAGTTATATCAACTGTATGCCAGGCACTCTGATTGACATTGAAGGCACAAAGATAAATCAGACAAGGACCCTCCCTCAAAGGGCTTCAATTCTAGTTGGATAGGCAGATATGTAAACAAACTATTCGTGTAATGTAACAATGACCATATTAGAGGTATGAATAAAGTAATAAGACCGATCAGTTCCTTTGGAGAGGGGGTTGGGTTCAGTGTCAGGAAAAATTATAAATATTTAAGGTAAAATATGGATTGAGCTTCAAATGATCAATAAAAATTCTCCATTTAGATAAAACATGCACAGCAACTTGAATGTGATTGATGCGTTTAAGGAGGATATACTGAATAGAGAAGTATGGCTAAGCTAGCATTTCCTAAAGTTTGTTCTTCTGAGTGTTAGTCCTATAAGATGTTCCTTTTAACCAAATGTTCCATGATCAAATAAGTTGGGATTATAATTGACAAATCATATTGCTGTTTCATGTAATGGATCACAACATTCCACTTACTACTTTCTAGGAGCTTAGCAGTAAATTCAAGCCTAAGGGCATAACTAAACCAATCTCATACTCTCATTTTTGAGGATTTATTTACTGAGATTCCCCATACCAGTTTCTGGTTTAGTCAGAAAATAGAAACCATACCTCATATTTGAAGAGAGAAAATTTAATATAAACATTATTAATTGGGTTAAGTTCTTAATTAAATGAAAAGACAATAAGAAAACAATAAGATATCACAGAGGTAGGAAATTCAGGAAGCAGCCAACCCCTCTAGAACTGGAATAACAAAAAGAAGAGTTTTGGAATTATTAAAATTTAGGAGTTTTGAGAAACAGCTCTGTGAAGTATCTCAGGAAAAGAGAATGCTGCCCTGCTAGGGTTGGTTTCTTTAAGGTGGAGATGATGAGATTGATCTGGCTAGTACTGAAAACTGCAAACAGAGATCTAATCACTGTAGGACATTATTCAGTCTGAGATACATGTAATTAGAATCCTAAAAGAATAGAGAGAGAATGGAGCAAAGAAATATTTCAAGAGATGGTGACAGGAATCTTTTAAAATAATGATCATCAAACCACAGATCCCAATAGCTTAGAGAGTCTCAATATTAGTTATCTACTGCTGTGTAATAAATTACCTTAAAATTTAGTGACTAAAAGCAACATACTTTTCTTGTGGTTTCTGTGGGTCAGAAATTGTTTGTTTGTTTCTGTTTTGTTTTTGGCTTGGTTGTTCTATCAAGCACTCTAGAGAAATCCTACAAGATATAAGCCACAATACCTTTTAGGACCTAGTCTCTCAAGTCACACACTGTCATTTTCATTTTATTCTTTTTGCCAGAAGCAAGTAACTGTGTTTAGCTGATATTCAAGGGAGGAGAAATTTAGATTCCATATCTTTATTTCAAAAATGAAGAAGAAATAAAGATTTTTTAAAAGAGCTAACATAATTCATTACTAGTGGAACTGCACTATAGGGAGTACTAAAGACTATTCTTCAGGCAAAAGGAATCTGATACCAGGAAGAAACTCATATCTACACAATGAAATGAAGAGCTTAAGAAATGGTTAAGATAACCGGG